CTTTTTACCCTACTGGAGAAGTTTTTGGATGTGCATAGGGATTTGAGTCTTAGAAGGTCCCATTCATCTATGTTATCTTCTCCTGGTTGTTTCCGGGATCATTTTATATTCTGTCCAAAACATCAAGTATTACAACTTGAAGCTTGAATTTGTTCTTCAGTTCCTTGAGCTTAAGAAATGCTGAGCAAGTTTGGCCCTTCTGATTTTCTGACTCCAGCTCTTTGCAGATTTCATTATAATACTTTACTTTGTCTTCCTGTGCTGCCCTTTGAAATCTTCTGTTCAGCTCCTTAATATTTTGATTTCTTCCTTCTGCTTTGGCTTTTTGAAGATCTAGTGCAATATTCAGAATCTCGTCTGACATCCATTTTGGTCTTTTCTTCCCTCTCTTTCTTTGTAATGACCTTTTGCACTCTTCCTGGATGATATTCTTGATATCCTCCCACAACTCATCTGATCTTTGCTCACTGGTGTTCAAGGCCTCAAACCTGTTCCACAGATGGTTTTGGAATTCAGGTGAGATAGACCCAAGGTCATATTTTGGTTCCCATGGATCCAATTTAATTTTATTTAGCTTCAGTTTGAACTTACATATGAATTGTTGGTGGTCTGTTCCACAGTCAGCACCTGGCCGAGTTTTCACAGCTGATAGTGATCTTCTCCAACAGTTCTTTCCACAGATGTAATCAATCTTATTCCTATGCATATCATAAGGTGAAATACATGTGTATAACCTGCACTTATGTTTCTTATAAAATATATTTGATTATATATCAATAATAATATCTTTTGTTTCAAGTCCTCTTCTGAATCTAGTGTGAAATTATGGACATTTCCGAATTCAACCATTTTTAAAATTATGACAAAACTTAACTTAGTGTAATATTATATTAATGATATTGTTCCATAATTTTCACTTTCTGTTGGGTCACGTTTCTTTGGATTGAGCATAAATATTGAGCTCTTTCAGGTGGCTGGCCAGTCATATGCCTATGCAGACTATAACAAACTATGGATAGCATTTCAAAGAATGGAATTTCAGAATGTTCAACTGTGAACAAAACAAGAGGATAGTCCACGGGGGTAAAATAAAGGAAGGTATGTATCAGAATTGTATCTTTTCAGCATACTTACTTGTTCAAACTGTATGCTGAATACATAATAAAAAAAAGCTGGACCATACAAGAAAAATGCTACATCATGCAACAATGAATAATAATTAAAAAAAAGAACGTTGGAGCAGAATTGGAAGAAAACTTATCATCAACCAGCAATATTTAGGTAATACCAATATTGCTCACAGAAAGTGAAGAAAACTTGAAGTACTTACTAATGATGATCAAAGACTACAACATAAAGTATAGATTACATCTCAACATAAAGGAAAAAAAGAATCCTCACACCTGGACCAATAAGAAACACCAGGATAAAGAGAGAAAAGATCTAATGTTCTTCTGTATGGAGGTAACCTGGGGTTGCAGTGATGCTGAACCTCGTGCCATTAGGGTGTCAAATGCTGTTAAAAGTACCCATGGTAGACAGTGTTTGGTGGAATTCTCAATTTAAGACAGGTTTTGAAGCAGGAAACTCTATGAATTTTTATAAATGACGATAGCTATAGAAAGGCTTCAGGCCTTTTGCTCATAGGGTCATATAAGTTGTGCTCGATTTGATGGCAATCAACAACAACATAAAGTTGTAAAGAATCTCGTTTTACTTGGATCCACAATCAACACCCATGTAGCAGCAGTCAAGAAACCAAACAATGGATTGCTTGTGCAAATCTGCTACAAAAGACCTTTTTAAAGTACTAATGAGTGAGGATGTCCCTGAAGAATAAGCTGTGACTTAGTTGGACAATGCATAAGAAAAAGCAAAGAAGAACTGATGCTTTTGAATTGTGATTCTGGTGAAGAATACTGAATATACTATGGATTTTGAAAAATATAAAATCTTTCTTGGGAAAATTCCCAGAGTGCTCCTTCGAGGCACATCATCAGGAGGGCCAGTTCTTGGAGAACACGATTAGCAAAAAAGATGATGTGCAAAGGGGCTACAATGACTGTTACTGTGTTAAAGCTGCTTCTTTTGTGTCAGAGGAGAACTGGGCTCCCTTAAACTGTCAGTGACTGGTTTTTTTTTTCCCTTCAGCAGAAATTTCCAAGCCTTTCTCCCCACGCACCTCTTGGTTGATTTGAACTTCTAACTTTTAATTAGCAACAGAGCATACCACCCAGGGGAAGTTAGCCAGCATCAGATCCTGTCCTTGCTCACAGAACCTCTCCTCCAAATTACACTTAATTTCAGAAAAGAATCCTAAGAAATCAGGAGTTGTGCAATCATGTAGTTTGTTGGGGAAAGGACATAATCTTTTCCCATAGACCCATTTGATGCAGGTCATTCACGCCTTGGGGACAGTATCCACTCTGTACTCACCATATACCACATGTTGGACCAAATGGGGTCATTAAAATAAAGGGCTTGTGGGTTGTTCCACACCTGCCTCTTCACCCTGCGTTTAACTTCTTGCTGTTGGAGCCATTTCACCTACCAGGAAGAAAGGCAATTATTATATACCTATTTATTTGTAAAACCGTCTCCTTTGAATGTGATATTGGAAATGAGTACTTAATATCCATGGACTGACAAAAGAAAAAACAAGTCTGTCCTGGAGGAAATGCAACCAGGGTGCTCCTTGGAGGCAAAGATGGTAAAACTTGATCTCACATATTTGAGGCACGTTTCCAGGAAGGACCAGTCATTGGAGATAGACATCATCATGCTGGGAAATGTGGAGGGTCAGAGGAAAAGAGGAAGAACCTCAACAAAACAGGCTGACACAGGAACTATCACAAGGGCTTGAGCAGGACAGAAATACCAATGATCATGCAGGACAGGCCAATGCTCAGGCCTGCTCTTTAGAGGGTTGCTCTGAGTTGAAATTGGTTCAATGGCACCTGTCTTGATTTTCTTAGCCTCTCTGTCGGTACTGCTGATTTTCCTTTTCATGAATATCTGTATAATTATAAGATCTTCTGGATGAGAACTTCCAAGGGGACATTTTTATGTTAAAAGTGACCATTTAGAGAATGAGAACTTGTTTGTGTAAGCGGAGGGAGAAATGATATCATTCTAGTAGATTTTGGACTCATTTTACTGAAATAACAAACCAAAAACTAATAACTTTGCAAAGTTGTCAATAACTGATCTGTCACTCCTGTCCTAGGGAAAACGAAGCACACTTTTGGGAAAGGCATGATTGAGAGGGAAGGAGTTATTTGGTCAAAATGGTTATCAACAGTTTGAGGTAGGATGTTTCACAGTCCCCAGTGAGGAAATCAACAAGTAAATGATAGTAACCCATAAACTGGGACCTTGGGCAGCCATCAGAAACATGGTAATATAGCATGCACAGAGAAGCAAGAAAAGGATGGAGCAAAATACTGATCAATAACAGCAACCTCTGGGTGATGAGATTATTGGAAATTTAAAGTTTAAAAAATGTTTTTATTATTCCATGAATAAATTTTTTTCATTAGGCATAATTCATAATAAATACAGTGTTTAAGAGAAAGTACAGGGGAGGTTGTTGTTATGTGCCACTGAGTCACCTGCAACTCATAGCGATCCTATGTACAACAGCTCTAAACCCTGCTCTATCCTGTGCCAATCTCACTGTCTTCGACACATCTACCCTTATTACCCCAGTCACTGAATTAATCCATCGCCTAGAGGATCTTCCTCTCCTATGTTGTCCCTCTACCCTCCCAAGCATAACGTCCCTCTCCAAGGACTGGTCCCTCCTTGCAACATGCCCAAAGTATGTCAGACGAAGCTTCAGAATCCTTGCCTTCAAGGAGCAGCCTGATTTAACCCTCTCCAGGATGAAGCTGTTCATTCTCAATACTATTCTTCAACACCACAGCTCAAAGGTATCAATTCTCTTTCTATCATCGTTAGTCATTGTCCAGCTCTCTGACGCATAGCAAGTGATTGCAAAGACCATGGCCTGTATCAGACACATCTTAGTCATCACACTGACATAATTGCTCTTCAATACTTTGGAGAGGTCTCTAACAGCAGACTTTCCCAATGCAATACATCTTTTTATTTCCTGGCTGCTGGTGCCAAGAGTGTTGATTATGGAGACAAGAAAACTAAAGCTATTAAAAATCTCAATCTTTTCACCATCTATCATGATGCTGCTAATTGGCCCAGTGGTGAGAACCTTTGTTTTCTTGATATTGTGTGTGTGTGTGTGTGTGTGTGTGTGTTCCAAGGTGGCAGACCTTTGCATTTTAAGAGGTCATGGGGCACCTGGCCACCACTACTCATCACTTTCAAAGGGATGTATCATAGTAGAAGACCCTGTATGAGTGAGTAAAAAAATGTGAAACGAAACTCAAATTCAAAAAAATGGCTTGCCTTGCAGGTTGAAGAGAGACTGGTGGGATGTCAAAACTAAAGCCCACAGTCTCCCTTCAAACCTGGAATAAAAACTCACCCACATAGCTCAAATGGCAGTCAAACAATAGATGAGTCTTTCATGTAAATCAGAGCGAGAGAGGCATGTGCTCCTCAAAATAATCAGCCATGTAAGACCCAGGTCAGCATGTACCTAGCAAAGCCTTAAAGGCAGAAAAGGGTAGGGTGGAACTTCAGAACATGGGGAGGAGTCTGGCCCTGAGCCAGTCTCTGTGGATGTTGCTGCAGCAGTCCTGGCTGGTTTAGTGACCCTCAACTCATCAAGCATGTGGGCCTATACACTAGGTGTTAAGATGCATGGGTGTAGCCCTGCTCATCCAGGCCCTCCTCTCAGGAAGCATGTGCTCCACTGGGGGCTACCACTACCAGAGGAGAGTGCGGCCTGTACCAGTCACTCCAGGAACTGTGGCGATAAGTGGCACAGGCTACAAACAGGAAGGACTCACCAATGCCTTAGGAAGCAGGGAGGAAGGGATGAGGAAATGAGCACAGAGGCCAGGGCACCTTGAGGCCAGGATGAGGCTGCAGACCACTGGCTAGACCCCTGAGGCCAAAATGCTTGCAGGTCCAGTGGGCAAGGAATGAGTGAGTGTCCCCCTGAGACTCCCTCAGCCTTGAATTCTTCACTTTGCTGGAGCGAGGACAGCAGAACATTTCCATGAACAGCCTTCCATTTAGCATGGAGAGCAGATCTCAAAGACATTCTTGTTTGGCAAGACAACAAAATGCTCAGCAAAGAATGCTTTAGTTATTTCATGACCTATATGATTGTAAAACATTAGGGACATGACTTCCTTAAAAACGCATCAAAGAGCACACAGTTCTGCTTTAGACACTAAGATAGCTCAACACTAAGTCACAGATAATTTAAAGATGCAACTGATAGATATTTCTAAAGAAAATGTTGTTGTTGTTGTTGTTGTTGTTATGAGCCATAGAGTCACCTGCTACTCATAGAGACTCATGTACAACAGTCCTAAACCCTGCTCTGTCCTGTGCCAATCTTATTGTCTCTGACAAACCTACCCCAGTTACTGAATTAATCCACCCCGTAGAGCGTCTTCCTCTCCTTGCGCTGTCCCTCCACCCTCCCAAGCATGATGTTCCTCTCCAAGAACTGGTCCCTCTTTCCAACATGTTCAAAGTATGTCACATGAAGTTTCAGAATCATTGCCTCCAAAGAGCAGCCTGGTTTCACCCTCTCCAGGACAAACCTGTTCGTTTTCTTAGCAGTCCATGGTATATTCAATACTCTTCTCCAACACCACCGCTCAAAGGCATCAATTCTCCTTCTATCATCCCTAGTCATTGTCCAGCTCTCTGACGCATACATAGCAAGTGATTGCAAAGACCATGGCTTGTATCAGACACACCTTAGTCTCCAGATTGACATAATTGCTCTTCAGTACTTTGGAGAGGTCTCTAGTAGCAGACTTTCCTAATGCAATACATCTTTTCATTTCCTGGCTGTTGGTGTCAAGAGTGTTGATTGTGGAGCCAAGTAAACTAAAGCTGTGAACAACCTCAATCTCTTCACCATCCATCATGATGCTGCCAATTGGCCCAGTGGTGAGAATCTTTGTTTCCCTGATATTGAGTTTCAATCCATATTGAAGGCTGCATTCTTTGGCCTTTTGCAGCAAGCACTTGAGAGGTCCTCCTCAGTTTCAGCAAGCAGGGTTGTGTCATCTTCATAACACAGATTGCTAATGAATCTTCCTCCAATCCTGATGTCACATTTCCCCTCATAGAGCCCAGCTTCCCAGATAATCTGTTCTGCATATAGATTGAAAAGATATGGAAATAGGACTCAACCCTGGTGTACACCTTTCCCAATTTTGAACTATGCAGTGTTCCCTTGCTCAGTTCTGAGAACTGCCTCCTGGTCCAAGTATAGGTTTTGCATAAGCATGATGAAGTGTTCTGGGATTCCCATTCTTCTCAGAGTTAGCCACAGTTTGTTGTGGTCCACACATTCAAATGCCTTTGCATAGTCAATGAAACACAGAGAGACATTCCTCTGGTACTCCCTACTTTCAGTCAAGATCCATCTAACATTAGCTACAATATCCCTAGTACCATGACCCCTTCTAAACCCAACTGGCACTTCTGGTAGTTCTCTGTTGATTTGCTGTTCCAGTCATTTTTGGATAATCTTCAACAGAATATTGCTTGAATTCAATATTAGTGATATTGTTCGATAATTTCCATACCCTGTTGGGTCGCCTTTCTTTGAAATGGGAACAAAGATAGATTTCTTTGAGTCAGCTGGTCAAGTGGTTGTCCTCCAGATTTCTTGAAACAACTTGGTGAGCAGCATCTGTTAGTTGAAATATACTGTCCATTCCTGGAGCCTTGTTTTTTGCCAATTCTTTCAGAGCACCTTGAACTTCCTCCTTCATCACCACAGGCTCTTTTTCATACCTTTTTCCATGAAATTCTTCTGTGTCCGCCAATTCCTTTTGGTACAACGACTCTGTATACTCTTTCCATCTTCTTTTAATACTTCCAGGATCATTTTATATTCTGCCCAAAACATCAAGTATTGCAACTTGAGGCTTGAATTTGTTCTTCAGTTCCTTGAGCTTAAGAAATGCTGAGCAAGTTCAGTCCTTTTGATTTTCTGACTCCAGCTTTTTGCAGATTTCATTATAATACTTTACTTTGTCTTCCCGTGCTGCCCTTTGAAATCTTCTGTTCAGCTCCTTAATATCTTGATTTCTTCCTTCTGCTTTGGCTTCTTGACCTGGATGATATTCTTGATATTCTTCCATAACTCATTTGGCCTTCGCTCATAGTGTTCAAAGCCTCAAACCTGTTCCTAAGATGGTTTTGAAATTCACACTGTAAAATATTTCATTCATAACACCCTCAGATGGCATTTTTCAACTTCACCATCTATAACAGCCTGTACTGGAAAGCTGCTTTTACTGCATAGAAAATATCTTCAACTGTACTTCACAATCTGCTAAACATTCTATTAAAAAAAACAGCAGCACGTATACCACTAAGCTTCTGGGACAGCTCTATTTGGATGGATACAAGCTGTATCATCT